TCCTTTCTCTAGGCTGGCAAAGTCAGGTGTGGGTAATGCTGGCAGCATAAATGCACCATATTTCTGTCTGATCACCAGTGATAGCCTGATGTATTGGTAGAAAAGAGGGATCCTCATCCACTTGTGCTTAATTGCAGTTTGTCTATGATAATTTACCTATGCCTTACCTTTGTATCACAGAGTCAATCTACCATTTCTTTGTTGATTTGAGTTTGACCTCCTGACTTTGTTGCTTGGTGAACGCAATTCTAGTGGTTACTCACAACAAAGTGTTTTGTGGAAGCTTTTTTTACCCTCTTTCTTATGTTTCCTCTATGATAGCCTTTCCTTGAGCGTCTGAGCAACATATGGAAAGGTAATAAAGGAGAATACCTTTCAGCTTCTTTGGCAGCCTTGACTTGGGTAGCCAGTGTAAAATAAGGAAAAAGCAGATGTCACTCCATATCCCAAGGTGACACTTCTTTTATCATTACCCATTTTGCATCATGTCTGCAAACCTTTCCTGGATGAACTTTTAGTCCTCTGGCTCTACTATTTTCTTGTTAGGTGGTCTGCAGCCCCTCCTGTGACTCCTTACCCACCCGTACTTTTTCAGGTGTTATTGTACTGGGTTTACGTGGCAAGGTTTTGGTAGCAGGGCAGCTACAGGGGTGGTTTCTGTGAGAAACTGCTAGAAGCTTCCCCTATGTCCGTTATAGCCAATTCCAGCTCCAAGTCAGACCCACTACTGGACAAGGCAAAGGCTGAGCCCACCAGTGATGATGGTAGTGACTCTGTGATAATGTAGTTAAGAAGGGAAAAAGTTGCTGTGCCACTTCAGCCAGAGAGAGGAGTGAGAATATGTGAGAGAAACAGCAGAAGCCAAGGTCAGTGCAGAAGGAGGGCAGGAGATTCTCCAGAGCAGAGGTTCCACTGCAGCCCATGGTGAGGTAGCTGTGCCCCTGCAGCCCATGGAGGTTCCATAAGGGAGCAGATATCCAGCTTTGGACCCTACACGACATCAGGTGGATGTCTGAAGGAGGCTGTGACCCTATGAAAAACCCACGCTGGTGCAGGCTTCTGTCAGGACCTGTGGCACATGGAGAGAACAACCCATGCTGGAGGAGGGTTGCTGGTGGGTATTTGTGACCCCATGGGTGACCCAGGCTGGAGCAGTGCATGATGAACTGCAGCCTGTGGGAAGTACGTCTTGATAATGGCTATTGAAGAGGTTAGAGCTGAAGCATCAAGAGCCTGAGTCATTCTCCTGTGTGAACAATGCAAAGAGAGTTTAAGAGCGAGGGTGAGTGGGAGCTGATTTGCAGAATCTCTACCAAAACAGGCTTTTCTTGGCTGATCTTTGAGTGGCTGAAAGGGCTGGTGTCAAGGCCACTCCATAACAACACCACATTGCAAAGCAAAGCTAAATCTAGAGGTAAATCTGGGCCGCTGCTTCTTTCGAGACTAAAATCCTAAGCTGTCCTGGCCTTTGGACTTGATATTCTTGCTGAAGATGAAACAAAGAGAGCAGCTATGAGGTTAGAGAGTCACTCAAAATTTGTTCAAAAGAAATTTGGCAGCTGTGGTGCTTTTGTATCAGCAAGACAGTTGTGTTTTATAAAGTGAATTACAGGCTTGACTCTTCCTTTTTGTTCTATATTCCACATCCATTTTGTCATTTGTTTTAGAGCCAGCCTGTGTCATTCACAGTGCCACCAAAGAGATGCTGTCTGAGCTCTTCATGCAATCTTTATTTACCTCTGAGTCAGTCTTTTAAGTCTTTGCTTGTTCAGAAGTTTGAATTCAAACTCGAGGGTAAAATGAAATGTAATCACTGTACTAAGTTAAATAATAGAAGCAGCATTTGTCGTTGGCACCCATTATGGCTGTTATGTGGGCAAACTAAAAAGCTTTGCAGAATAAATCAAATGTGTATACAATGTCACTTTATTCTAAATTAAACATTTCCTAAAAAAAAAAAAAGGTTTACATCTTAATATAGAATCATAAAATCATAGAATAGTTAGGGTTGGAAAGGAGTCTTTCTGTGTATAAAATATACTTGTACCTTGTTACTGCCAGACCTACTCTCCCTTGTGCTCACGTTCTGATGCAGGTAAAATGAACAGAGGAACAACATATTCTCCTGAAATGCTGGAAGGAAGTCAGCCACATGTCTTGAGAGATCTTGCTTCCTGTCTTACTTCAAGAGATCTCAGTTTCTGTATGTCCTTCAGTTAATAATGAAATTGAGATGTGGTTTTCCTGCAATTTTTTGCAAAATCTGCAAATGAGAACTTTCTATAGAAAGACATTTCAAGACGTAATTTTTAAGAATGTTTTTATTGGTTCTTCTTTTCAGAGTTAGAGAGGAGCTCTTGCTAGAGGTTTGTTTAAAATAATTAGCAAGACAATGTGAGTTTACAGTGTTCATCCTTTGGAGTAATCCAGGTAGCTGTGATAAGCACAGTACAGTAAACAAAATAACAAATCTTAGCAACAGGCAGAGTGTGGTTTAGCCCTAACCTGCCTTACCTGTGGAGTTCCTTGGCAGCCCTGAGAATGGACAGGGTGAGTTGGTGTGTGCCTGTAAAATACCACATGAATATGGAAACTCCTTTTCCCCCCCACCCAGAGGTCTGGGATTTGGAAAAGAATAATGGAATAAACTAGATTCTAGCTAAATTATTATTAATTTCAGTAAAGATATGCTAACATTATTGTAATTTATTTCATAGAGAAAACTAACTACATTTAATTGAGTAATGACAAAACACAGCAGCTTTTATAACGGACAAGTCGCATTTATTTCTGTCTAGAGATTCAAAACATTGTTTTGCAGAATAATGATCTTTCTTTTTTGGCAGAAACCCTTAAACACATCAGCATATGAGAAAGTTTTGGCTTAATTTTTAAAGTCTATCAATGTCAAATAACTTTCTTTGGGGGATTTTCAGTTGTTACATAAAAAAAGGCTTTTCATGAAGCATTCAAGAAATTAATTGGCATCAAACTATGGAAATTGCCCAGATGACAGCATAAAAATGGAAGAGAATTGCAAAGGGTGAGAATTTCCAGAACATGACAGTACGAGTGAAATATCAGAGATTTTTAGAATAATGCTATGAATTTCCTTCAGAAGTTCAGAAAATGCTGTATACTTAGCACCCTAGGCCTTTTTTCAGGTCTTTCTTCATAAAGCAAAGGTTTCTCACAGAGAAAGGAAGTGCTCTGTCCTAGAATAAAGTTGGTGCAGGGAGGGAGTTCAGGTTGCTACATCTTCTGTCTCTCATCTAAATTGCTACTGAACAGGTAATAATAAACAGTGGATTTTTAGTTTTTCTTTATTAGCCCTTCCTCTTGGCCCTTTTCTCAAATTCCCTGCTAATTTCATAATCAAGTTCATATGGGGTGGGTTGGACCTATTTCTGTTCATAGATATGCTTATGCGACACTTGCTTGCAGTGTTGGAAATCTATGCTAATGTCCCAATGTACATCTGTCTGTTTCTCATGCCATGGTACATCTAATTGTTTTTTTCCCGTGGGTGCGCTGCTGGGTTTTTTTAAAAAATATGTTTTTAAAAAGATCTGATGAAAATTGAGGCCTGTGAATTGCAAGCAGTCGCTGACTTGCTTTGCCTCTGCTTTTCAGCCTCTCACATTATTCACCTAGTCCAACTTTAGCTCTGTCTGCTCATTAAGCCATTCCCAGCTTCAACAGTCTTTTCCTCTGCAACAGACTGTCAGCCTTCTTTATCTCTGAGCCTAGTAATGCCACTGAAGAGAACATAATTTTTTCATACCTGGCTTACAATATCTCAAGTTTACTCTATAATGTTATCTAGTATTCATTCTAATATTAATTAATAAAGCTCAGAAACTATTTTTGAGTCTGATTATAAGATGCCTTATAAAATAAAATACAATTATAGAATCACAGAATCATAGAAGGGTTAGGGTTCAAAAACATCTTAAGATCATCTAGTTCCGACACCCCTGCTATGAGCAGGGACACCACACACTAGACCATGCTGCCCAAGGCTCCATCCAACCTGGCCTTGAACACTGCCAGGGATGGAGCATTTACTGCTTCTTTGGACAGCCTGTTCCAGTGCCTCACCACCCTCACAGTAAAGAGCTTCTTCCTTATATCCAATCTAAACTTCCCCTGTTTAAGCATGAACCCGTTACCCTAACTGTGTTTTTCCATTTATTACTCTTACTCATATGAAACTGTCAAACATGTCTTTCTCTTTTTAAACACATGCTCATTAATATTTCTTGTGTCATAGACAGCCAGACATGAAACTATGTCTAAAATGAATAATTTTCCTTATAAATGATGAAGCTTTGAATGGATAAAATTTATGAAGATTTCTTGTCTGGTAAATTAAACTGTGGACTACAGCTACTTGTATTGTAGTCCAGGAGGAACCAAGAAGGGGAGAAGAAAAATCTATATATGCATAAAAGAGAATCAGCTTTATTAGGAAAGACAAAAATGGTTCTGAATTTGAACTACTCTGTGTAGTTCAGACTCAGGTGATCTGAATAGGCTTAATAAAAACATCTTTAAATGATGGAATAAATATGTATTAATATATGCTGAAATCCTTAAGGAAAGAGCTCCTAAAGGGCCTATGTAGAGTGAATCCATGTTCATAGTCTTTTAAAAGTTTTTAAAAGAAGTTTTCAAAAGAACTAATAAAGTGCTGAGATTGTCTAAAATGCATACAAGGTAACTATATTACTGATTTTGCTGCAGACCAATCCAGAGATAAATTGTCTATTAAGAGTATTTAATCTCTAATTCTCAACTCTCTCTTCTGAGTATTTAATCTCTAATACTGATATATCGCCAGTAAGAGCACTAGCTCTTATATGTTAGCTTTTTAAAATTCATTAATATTATTATCATCTAGAAATATCTGCAGATTAACAAAGTGCTGTTTTCATTTGCAGACACAGCCTTTGCTTGCCTCAATATTTATAATTTTTGTTCTTTTTTTGCCTCCCCAGGGCACAATATAGAACTATGATAGCAACCGGAGGAGTCATAACAGGACTAGCTGCCTTAAAAAGGCAAGACTCTGCAAGATCTCAGCAACATGTAAATCTTTCTACAGCTCCAGCTACTGAGGAGAAGAAACCAGTTAGATGCCGACCTAGGGCAGATGTAGTTATTGTCAGGGGCAAAATCCGCCTCTATTCTCCATCGGGATTCTTCCTTGTTTTGGGAGTGCTTATTGCATTCTTTGGAATTGCAATGGCTATCCTTGGATACTGGCCCCAAAAGGAACAGCTTTTAGGATCTGAAGATAATCTCTCTGTAAATGAAACCCAAGTCCTGAGAAGCCAAGGAAGCATTTTACTTCGTTTCTTTGAGCAGCATGTGCACTCGGATAAGATGAAAATGCTGGGCCCTTTTACTATGGGCATTGGAATCTTCATTTTTATTTGTGCAAATGCCATTCTGCATGAAAACCGTGACAAGGAGACAAAAATCATACACATGAGAGACATATACTCCACTGTAATAGACATCCACACACTGAGGATCAAGGAACAAAAGCAGCTGAGTGGTGCCTTCACTGGCTTGTTGGGGGAAGGAGAACTTGGGCACAGTGGGAGCTTATGTGCTTCACGGCTGGCTGCAAACACAGTTGCACCTTTCTCTGGCTTCAAGAGTAATTTTAGAATGGATAGTTCTGCTGAAGAAGATGAGACTACCCTAAATGAAGACAGGATCACTGGTAGCCTCCTGCCACCTCTGCTGACTGAGCAATCTGGTTCAGTCTTTGGACTTTACCCTCACTCCAGCAAGGCTTCAGATGACAAAAACACTGGCTCTATAAAGTGTGAAACAAAATCCATTGTATCATCTTCCATTAGTGCTTTCACGCTGCCAGTAATTAAACTGAATAACTGTGTTATTGATGAACCCAATATAGACAACATAACTGAGGACTCAGACATCACTAGGAGTCGGTCTAGAAATCTGTCGATGGATTCTCTGGCTATTCCACTAACTGATACCAATGAATCTTATAGACCAGCCTCTGCCATGCTGCCAAGACACAATTCTTTTGGGGACAGTCCATCTGATCAGTTCAAATCTTCTATGACTCTTGGACCAAGCACAGGAAAGCTTTTATCACCTGGTGCTGCCAGGAAACAGTTTGGGTCCAACACATCTTTGCATCTTCTGTCTTCGCATTCAAAGTCCCTGGACTTGGACAGGGGTCCGTCTATGCTCACTGTCCAAGCTGAACAAAGGAAGCACCCTAGCTGGCCCAGACTGGATCGGAGCAACAGTAAAGGATATATGAAACTAGAAAACAAAGAGGACCCAATGGATAGGTTACTTGTGCCACAAGCGGCAGTCAAGAAAGACTTTACTAATAAGGAAAAACTTCTTATGATATCAAGATCTCATAATAATTTGAGTTTTGAACATGATGAGTTTTTGAGTAACAACCTGAAGAGAGGAACATCTGAAACAAGATTTTAATATTTAAATTGCAATTTAGAAGATGTCACACAGTATTTTTAAAAAAAACATTTTGACAAGTGTTTCCTTTTCAGTGACACTAGTACTAGCCTGTTTTTAACCAAATGCTTAATATAGCCCATCAAAACTGGTTTGTGTGAACAGAGATCTTCATCTTAAAAAAATACCAACCTTAATGCCAGGTTTTTTGTCTTAGTAACATACAGCTGCAATACTGTACATTATCAATTGCTCAGAGATTTTTGGTAGAACTGATTCTAATTTTCCCTGAGTCATTATTATTTTGTTCTATATAAGCATGCTATCTTTTATCAATTGACTCCAGAAGTCTGCATTAGGAAAAAAGCTCCATTTACCTGTAAATTCTATCTATTTAATAACTGCAAGAGTCTGAAAACAGTGCTTGCAGTCTAGAATGGGAAGTGAACAGGAGCACACCCTGGAATTGTCAAATCCAGGCCTATATCCTAGGTGTTGTCTTTTACATATGGTACATCTCAGTAACTGCAGTCTTGCCATTGTCATTGTGAGAAACTTGTTTACATATTGGGATGGGTGGATAAAAAAGAGTGGGTATAATTAAAACCATTTTTGTAAATTCATTGTAATCGGTCGAGTTGAATACCAGTGTTGTGAATTATTAACTATGCTTTGTACAATAATATTTCTACGTCCATTGTAATTTAATCTTGTAATTCTGGGAAAGCATATATAAAGTAAGAAATCTGAAAATTCTTCTGGGATTAGTTATCTAACCCACTTTGATTGGCAGCAGTTTTAAAATAAAAATATACATATTCAATTAAAATCATAGGAACATGATGAATGCCAGCAGGATTTTAGAAACATAGTGTATAATAGGATTATACTGTGACATGCATCTGAAGAGAATAATGGAAAATGAATATATTGCCTCTCATTACAATAACGAGTAGTTAAATAGCTAGATCTCTGTGTTCAAAATACTGATACAAAGCATATAGTTCAATATGTATACTAGCATAGTATGAAAGACCTTTGCCTAGATTTTGATTTCTGTATTTCACATAATTATTGGTGTGACGGTTCACTGAAGGTTTAGCTGTGGTAATTTGCATTACAAGATTCTGCAGAAGGAAGTGACATTTAAAACAATGTTTTTCTCAGCAAACCAATCTTCACAGTTGACAGTTGTATTACTAAAGAAAATGAAAATTTGAATGTGCATACCAGAAGGTTTTCATGTATTTCACTAAGGTATTCAGTCCACAGTCCTGCCACAACAGCCATGCTAGAGAATGTCACTTCAAGTGACATTTGTTGCAAGGCTCACCTAACAGGATGTTGGTCTTAATTGGTTGGGTTTGATATTTTTACTTAACCTAAATACTCAGGAATTCTTTTTAATGGCTTTTCCCAAAAAGAATAAAACCTGTTAAAATGTTGTTGTTCTTCATTTACTTTGATTATGGAAGATCAAAGATGAAAATACCCTCTCTCTTTTTTTAATATTAAACTCTGTATTTCAGCTGCGTGATGTTTATGTATCAGGAGCATTACTTGCTCAGTGAATTGAGGCATAGTGTTAACTGTTAGAACCTCAAGCCTATATATTGTAACAGAGTTGGCTAAATATTTTGCTATGAAGCTTTTAATAACTTTCTGGTTTGTGTTCTTAAGACATTTGCTATTTTTTGAAATAAAATGTCTATCTACATATATCTGGTTTAAGACCTGTTTTTCTTCTATGCTCTCAAATCTTCCATACCAAAGTATAATTGGGTATCGTAACATTGTATATAACATTGTGCTTAATATATATTCTTGCCACTGGATATTTGGCTATGACTAATTGATTTCAACGACATCCTTGTAGATGTAAAGACTTGGATGTTTTTTCCTCATGTAATGTGAAATACGGTTTTGATACAAGGAATTTTTTTATAAAAAGAACATCCTGTTCTTTTTAATTTGCAGTAGGTTTCTTACAAAAATGGAAAACACTATTAAAGACATTAATGATTTAAGCTTTTATTTTCCTAATAGCTACACTAAATCATAGCTTAAAAGACTGGTTTTGGGGTACCATCATATATTTAATAGTGGTTCTTTTCTAAGGACAGCAGGGCATGAGCTTTTAATTTCAACATAGATACTTGTTACTGAAAAATATACTCACTTTGGAAAAATTACCCACTTGGGGGACCAGAGTAAGGCTACTGACTTAAAGCAAGAAATCAAAATAATACCATACAAAGAAACTCCATGGCTGACAGACCAAAACATTCCCAGATAACCCCAAAATGGAATATTTAATTGAGATAATCACAAGATGGTTGCTGTTGGAAGGGATGTCTGGAGGTCATCTTGTCCAACCCCCTGCTCAAGCAGGGTCACCTGGAGGTGGTTGACCAGGACTATGTCCAGGTGGTTTCTGAGTAAATCCAAGGAGAGAAACCCAACAATCTCCCTGAGTGACCTGTGCCAGTATTCGGTCACCCTCAAAGTAAGAGTGTTATCTGATGTTCAGAGGGACCCTCCTGTATTGCAATTTGTGCCAATTGCCTTGTGTCCTGTCACTGGGCACCAGGCTCTTTTCAGAGCTTGGCTCCTTATTTTTGCCCCCTCCTTTAGGTATTAAGGTGTCTGTACACCTACATATGGTGTTAAGATCCCCCTAAGCCTTTTCTCCAGGCTAAGCAGTGCTCCCAGGTCTCTCAGCCTGCCCTCAGAGGAGAGCACGCCCCAGTCCCTTCATTACCTTTGTGGCCCCTCACTGGTACATCTCCAGTGTGTCCATGTTTCTCTTGTATTGAGGAACCCAGAACTGCACCCAGCACTCCAGATGTGGCCTCCCTAGTGCCATGTAGAGGGAAAGGATCCCCTCACTTGATGGTAATGTAGGACATCACATCCTTCCATATTACTTGGTAGTTCCAGCTCAAGCTAGTCATGAAAGCTTGCAGACAGTTTAAAAGGCCTGAACACTAGTCTTCATGTACAGAAGTCAGAAACTGCAGCAGGGCGAAGATGCAGTAGTACATGAGGAAAGTTAGGAACCTTACAGTGGCCAAAATGGGAGCCATGTACAGTTGGCAAGTAAGAAACTGGTGAAGACAAAAACATGTCTTAAATTGTGTCTTTAAGGCACCCATATCATATTCAGTCTCTTGCTGATTCAGTTCACAGACTTTTTTCTTAATTTAGTTTCTGTTATCAATGCTCTATGCAGCCCCACAATGAGTTGCTCTGGTTCAACTGCAGGGTGACAAATAAGCCAAAGTCAGGACCTTCTAAACTAGTTTTATCATCAAACAAAATAATTGTATAGGCACACCACAAGCCTTTTGTTGGAATGAGAAGCTGAACACTAGATCTAGCCAGAGGAAATGTTACAATACTGCATCCTCTGTATGTAATAACTCCAAAAGAGAAATAATTTAGATTGTGCAAGAAATAAGTTTGCTCCTTCCGCTGACTAAGACTAATAAAAAAAACCCAACCTTTCAGGTAAGCATCTTAACCACTGTCTATGTATTAGACTGGTGTTAAGGTCTGTCCCTCCTTCCTGGGCAAAGCTGCTTCCCTCTGATCATTTATTGGACAAGTTTCATCAGTAAATGAAGAGCATGATTCTGCAGTGATAGAGCAGAAATGTTGGGTGATGTTGTCTCTTGGGGGATTATTTCTATATTTTACATAAAATGGTTGCTGGATAAAATTGTTGAAACGGGGACTGGATTTTTGCCAGGCTGATACTTTAACTGCTCCTCTGGGGAGCCCCATTTACTCTAAAGAATGGGAAGGCAACCTAGCACCACCAGTCTGGCTCTGAAAGAAAGTTAACTTTAACATTACAACTGAGCAGAATTCTCGAGGCTGTATTTTTGTGCAGGCCTATCAGAGTGCCTTTCTTGGTCCTAGACCTGATTTTACTCATCCTTCAAATACAGTATTACTGTCTTTGGTTTCTGCTGAGTGAAATTTGGGTAATAGTTTAAACCTACAGCAGCAGCTTTCTCTCTCGAAACATTTTCAGGCAGCATGTAGAGTTCCTGGATTGCCTTAGTCTTTCACACTCAAGTTCTTTTATGAGTCTTTTTTGACCCTTACCAGGAACTTCTGCCTTTATCTTCCCAGAGCTACATTTTTTTTCGTTAATTTTTCTACCAAATACAGCCTGATGAGCAAGTAGAAATCCTTTAGTGAGACTGTGCAGGTGTGTACGAGAATGCAGATGGATGTAGGAGTGCTTCAATTGGTATGATTTAACACTGAAAGGCAAGTTCATGCCTTTTGTTTAAACCTTTTCATATTAAACTCAGTAGCAAATTAATTGTACTTAACAGAGCTACCACATGTTTAACTTTCAGGTCACAGTTGTTGACTCTTACATCAATGTCCTATGTATGGCGATGTTTTATATTTTAGGACTTGGTATTTCAAATTAAGATCACTGGAGTATATTACACATTCAGTAAACCCTGTTTTTTAATAGTGTTACTTGTCTGAATGACAGTTGGCAGAATTACAACCCTGAGACCCTTAGAGAATAGTTACAATACTTTTATTTTAGAACACTTTGTTGAAACTGAAATGTAAGAACCCACTGTATTAAAGAAAAAGCTGTATGTCTAATCTGTTGTCTTGGTTCTAATCTGGGTAGATAATGCTTTGGAGGAGAATAACATACAATGACTGTGAGCTGTCCGTAGGAAGCAGCATAGAACCATTCTTGTCCCTTATCGGTTTTTACTCCAGCTAGTGTAATTATTCAGGATGACGTTCACAAAAACAGCTAATCCATTTTGAAATCCCACTAAACCCTAATGCCAATATTGTTTTTTGCGGACTACTGCAGATTAAGTATAGTTGCCAATAAATATATTTCTGCTATCAGCTGGAAATTCTTATGAGCATTTTAATTTTGTTGCAACAGCCAACTGCTCTCCTATTAAAAATAAGAGATCAGGAATAACCTGATATATGTTGTAAATTTATTGATATTTCTGGAGGGTTGTTTTTCTTATTTTTAAAGGAATTCATCACTCGGCTTGTTCAGAGTTATGCTGTGTTTCACTGTACAACCAGTTTAGCAATTAGATCTTTTTTTTCTCAGAATACATTCCAACTTTGTAGGCAAGATGTCATGTGTTTTGGCCTCAAATGGTGTGTTTTTTTCACTTGTAGTATTAAATTCCATTTCATTCCAGTCCATTAAGACAACTCAGTTTTTCTTCTGATCTCTTTTATGTTGGTAACACTTACTTACTTGGGCTGCATGGGTAATCAGTGCAGCCCAAGAGGAGTAGGTCTGTGTTTTGTGCCAAGGACTCATCGTCCATACTGGTTTCATTTCACTAGCTCCTACCTGGGCTGGTCGGACTGAACATCCATTTGCAAGTGGAACATGCAAATGGGACATCTCCCCATTTATCTTCCTCTGAAAGGAGCTGAGTATGTGCTATGAGATTGCTCCTTGGCATGAACGGAAGAGCTGTATGTGAAACCAACTTGGATAGTTGTTTCAAAAGAACAGTACTAACCTGGCAAATGTTTAGCAGCACCCTTAGTGAATTCTGAGTGCTGGAACAGCACACATATATATTTTTCTTCAATGTGATAATAAATGCCATTTTGTAAGATTATTCTAAGTCAGATCCTTAAAAAACTCCACTAATAACCTCTGCATGCCTTACACATCACCTACCAGCCTAACTTGTCACCTCCTCATTTGTTGGTTAATACTCCATATATTTTCCTTCTGATTCTCTTCTTCATCTCAGCTAATAATTTCACATGTGCCACTGTATGAAACGCTTCACTGAAGTCAGAGCAGATGAGATATACTGCATATTTTGTCTAGAAAGCTATTTCAAAAAGAGAGATCACCTCGGTGTGGTATGATCTATCGTCAGCATTGCTACTCAGCATCTTATCCTATTTCCCGTTTTCATTTTTGTCTTTAGTGCCTTGAAATTTCTGAAGCTTTCCATACTACCCGTATCTTACTGACAGTTTTGGAAGTGAACAGATAATTCCTCCTTTCCTTTCTTCTGCCATTTCATAAGTACAGTTTAAAAGGTTACTACTTTTAATACACGTTGCCTTCCCTCTCTCTGTCAGCTCAGTATGTTTACTGGAATTCCTTGCTACAATGTATTTCGCATGCCAATTTTTTCAGGCTACTGTAGCAGAGTTTGTGTGCCCCCAAACCATGAGAGCATTCAGGGCCTGAATTTAGCTTTCTCACAGGTGAGGATTTACACAGCTTCCATTTTCACAGTTACTTTCTTTCACTTTCCACACTTTCCTATCTCCCATTTCCAGACTTTATTTTTTTCCTGCTGCCACCTTGCTTTTCATCTGTTTCTAATACAGTTTACCAAGCTGAGGCAAAGTATTCACTTAGAGTATAGGCTTAATCTAGACTTAACCAGTCACTTCTAGTGGTTTGGGGGAAGCTGTTTATTTTTAACATGGGTTAAAGTGCGCCTGAACATACATTTCCCCACTTTGTTTCCTCCTTTGTGGGTTTTGGGTTGGTTTGGGGTTTTTTGGTTTTTGCTTGGGTGGTTGGTTAGTTTTTTTTTTTTTTTTAATTTATTTTGCTTTGGTGATGCTGTCATTAACCAACACCTGGAATTATCTCCAGAAGCTTTCTACAGTCAAGGTACATGTTTGTGCGCATTTGGTTTAAAAAATGCTCTGCCTGACCT